ATTAAATAAAAAATTAAATTTACTAAAAATAAATAACTTAGTAAAAATAAAAAAACGAGAGTAAAAATTATTTTAATACAGATAAAGTAAACAAATACGTATCCGTTGAGGGATTAAAATTAAGGTTTACCCAATATTTTTTCTAGAAAAAATAAATAAATAAAAAAGCCTCAAATAACGGCAAAACGTATGTTAAGCCTCTGAATTTACTTACTTTTTCAAGTTAGTCCCTAAACAAAAATAATTTGATTACAAGCCCCCCAAACCTCTCGATTTGTGCAAATCAACCTCTTACCACGTGGATATTGATGGAGCCTATTACTCACTGTACATTCTGGTCATTGCCTGCGTGGCGCTTAAGCAACAAGTTTCCATCCCTGTTCAGGTATCCCAAGAATGCCACGTGTCCCCCTGATTCCATACAAACTGTGTCCTTTCTTCCTCCACGGTTCTCCTCCCGCCAACCTCGCTCTGCCTCCAATTTCGCTTCCCGACACTAAACCCATTCTGAAAAAGCGGTTGAAATTGTTTTACTCTTATCCATCAAGCAACGAGATCGCTGTTAAGCGTTATTGCACTTTTGTTTCCTAAGGTCAATTCCTCTTTCCCTTTTTGCCTCTTCTTCAAGTTTTTTTTTTAATTTCTTTGGCACAATATGTCATTGTCTTTTTCTGATGATTTTTTGTCTATTCGAAGGTGTTTGAACATGGGGTTTTCATATTTGAGAAATACGATGGTGATTTTGTAAGATGGGTGTTTTTGATCTTTTTGAAGGTGTTTGGATATGGGTTTTTGATATTCGGGAGAGATGATGATATTTTTTAAGATTGGTGAGGAAAGTTGTCTTTTTTATAGGTTATAGTAGGTAATTTTATCTGTTTGTGGAGATGTCAGGCAATTACGAGGCAATGAGGAAAACCCCACCTGGGATTTTGCTCATCAGAAGTATCAGAGGCAAGGATTTGAGCCTGAAATCATATAGATACATGGTTTTGTTTGTTACCTTCATAGCCTATGCTTGTTATCATGCATCCAGGAAACCAAGTAGCATAGTGAAGAGTGTTCTGGATCCTGAGCGCGAGAAGGGCTCTGGTAGGAATCCTTGGCCCCTTGGCAATGTTTTCATCAGGGAAAATGTTGAGGGGTTTGATGGTAATAGAATGAGCATAAAGGGTTGGTATCCTTTTAATGGACCTGATGGGACATCAAAATTAGGTGAGATTGATGTTGCTTTTCTTTCCTGTTACTCAGTGGGGATGTATGTTGCTGGCCATTTGGGTGATAGTTTGGATCTTAGGTTGTTTCTGACGTGTGGGATGATTTTTAGTGGCATTTTTGTGGGACTTTTTGGGATGGGATATTTTTGGAATATCCATGTCTTCTGGTATTTCCTTGTGATGCAAATGCTTGCTGGGTTGTTTCAAGCCACTGGTTGGCCTTCTGTTGTGGCTGTGATTGGAAATTGGTTTGGAAAAAGGAAAAGGGGTTTGATAATGGGTGTTTGGAATGCACATACGTCAGTTGGGAATATTAGTGGCTCTCTGCTTGCTGCTTGTGTTTTGGACTATGGTTGGGGATGGTCTTTTATAGTCCCTGGGGCCTTAATTGTTTTGGGAGGGATACTGGTTTACCTATTTCTTGCTGCTTACCCTGAGGACATTGGATTTCATTGTGAACATGGTTCAGCTAAGGATATGGATGAAGTGATTAATGATGAGGAATTTCAGATACAAAATGGAAGTGAGGTTGCTCTAGAGAAGTGTGGTTCCAGAAAAGGTTCAGGAAGCAGGAAAAGTGTTCCACTTTTTGACGCCTTCTTCATACCAGGAGTGATACCATTTGCATTGTGCCTCTTCTTCTCAAAGCTTGTGGCATACACATTTTTATACTGGTTACCGTTTTATCTAAGTCAGACAGGTACCTTCATATTCCTTCATGGTTTTGCCTATTACTTCTGGTGACAAATTCTATAAATGGTTAAGAATATGCTGGCATGAGAAACGAAGAACCTTTGGGCTGGATTCTAATTTGCATATTGACGCAGGTCAAATATTTCTAGAATTCCCAGAAAAAAAGATGTCTGAGCTTAAATAGATTTGCGGGACTGCTGCAATAAGATAAAAGATTAATGTCAATCACAGGCCTGTCTAATTTCATAGATGCTGCTATAGGAAATTGGACGTGATTTTTTTTTTTTTTTTGGCCATCGTTGGGCACGTTCATTATCTATTGTTTTTATCATTATTTTTTGCCAGCTTGCATGGTTTCCATACACTTCTACTCTGTGTATTCTGTGTTTTAACTATTAAACATTTAAATTCTTGCTTTTGAAATTACTATGAGGTTTCCAACTCATTCAATTCCCTTGTTTTGCAGAAATTGGTGGGCAGTATATTTCTGTAAAGTCTGCTGGAAATCTTTCTACTCTGTTTGATGTGGGAGGCATTGTTGGTGGGATCCTTGCTGGTTATACATCTGATAAACTCAATGCTCGGGCAACTATAGCTGCCACCTTCTTGTATGCTGCAATTCCCACCATGCTTATATACCGTTCTTTTGGGAATGTTTCACAGGGTGTCAACATTTTACTGATGGTGATTTCTGGCTTATTTATAAATGGGCCTTATGCACTTATCACAACTGCAGTTTCAGCAGACCTTGGAACTCATAGTTCTCTTAGAGGGGATTCTCGGGCACTGGCAACAGTGACTGCCATAATTGATGGCACTGGATCAGTTGGTGCAGCTCTTGGTCCTCTTCTTACTGGGTTTCTTTCAAAAAAGGGATGGGATGCAGTTTTTGGTATGCTAACTGTTTGTGCTCTTATTGCGGGGCTGCTTCTATCACGTCTGGTTGTAGCTGAAATTACTGAAATAGCGTATGGACCAATTCACTCATCTAGTGAACAGCAAATTCATGAAGGTAATGTGAATCATATGATGACATTTATTGCACATATGCATTCATTCACAACACACAATATATGGATGTTTCAAGTAAAATCTTGGCATCCTCTCATTATAGGACTAGAAGCCAAAAGCCATACTCTAAATTGGAGCATCAAAATGGATCAAGCCATATTCATGAGTAATATGGTGTTAATGAGAGTAATTAGTTATTCAACTAATCTATGCTCTTTTCTTGCAGCATCTGCATCCGAATCGCTTTTAAGTGATCAAAGAAGATAATAGGCAAGCATCATGGAGCTGTAAACAATCCAGAAGGCAAGGTGCTAAAGAGGGAAGTGGTAAAATAACTCTGTCCACTAGTCCATTGTATGTAACATACATTTACTGATGAACAATATGTAAACTTAGCTTAGTTAGTGTTATTGGTTTCTCATGCAAGTTGCTTGTCCGAGGAATTATACTTCACTATGTCAAGTAACTAAAGTTGGCTTCTTAAGATAGTTGTATGGATAAGAAAATCTATAGAAAATATTTCTGTGATGATTTATTGACAGATTATTAGGTGATGAGTTTCATTCTCCCCTCTGTTAAATTTTGGAACCAGGTTATACCGTTCTCTGTTGCTGTTGATGATCTCATGTTAAGTTAGCTGTCACAATTCAAATCCATCTGACCCAGTTGGTATTTTTATAAATATTGCCTTTTGGTGCCTGTCAAGGCTTCTTTAGCATTACCAGTAGTTTCTCTTTAAATTCAGTTGGTTATGACTTATGAACATACAATCTTCAACACTGTTCTGATGTTTTGCTTTACGAGGAAAGATTGCAGACAAATCTTAGTACACAGACCTGCTTGTTTTCTGTCATGTTGACTGAGATAACATATCACTCTCCCTTTTACTGAATTGACTATTATGTGGTTTGGGTTACTGTTGCATCTTTAATCACTTTAATGGTGTATCTCCAACACTTAGGGTTTGGTTTCCACTCGAGTTTATGCTGTTTACCAAATGACCAAATATACAGATTCATTGTGAGATGGAGTGACAACAATTTTGATGGATTCTTCTGAATTAAGGTTTTCTGTATACTAAAAAACAAAGAGTGGTCCCAAGTTTCCTCCAGCTTCCTGTGTGTATTGTACTCACGACTCATGCGTGTCTATCCTAACCATTTACAAGCTTCCAGAACATGTTACCATCAATAATAATGAATAAAGCTGTCCCTTAACCCACCCAAAAAAAAAAAAAAAAAAAAAACAAAAACAAAAAGAACAAAAAGGCAGAAAAGCAGAAATAAACGAACACTCCAAAACAGACAGCATTATTGCCCGCTTCCAACTGGAATTCAAGTATCATTCATTCTCGTCTCTTGACTAGTTATTTCTCTAATTTACTGTTTATGTTTATAAAAACGTGTTATACAGTTAAGTGTAGAGTTTTATACTATTTAAATTACATAATTTAAGTTATTTTTTTTATCTTGATTGTACAATGAAATATAACTATTTTTCATTTTTTATCTTATCATAACCGCATGTCATACGATTCAAATTTAAAACTTAAAACTTATTACTTTTAATGAAAAAAATAATCACTGAATTATTTAGATAATTGACATAATTTAAACTATTAAATAAGAGATAAATTCATAATATTAAGGAATTATTCTTGTCCAATAATTTTTATTGTAATCTAATATAATGTAAAATATAATACAAAAAAATTCTTATATCTATTATCTAATAATCTCACAAATATCACATGTGTATTTTTTAATTAATTAACCATAATTAGATTATAGAAGTAGCAATTTTCTCTTCTTTTTAATGATGGGTGACTAATTTTTTCTTCCTATTATTTCGATTTAGGGAAAATGATTTTATGCACACGTTTTATTAGTGCGAGTCCTGCTGTACCAAAAGAACATGTCACTGTCTTGGTTGACATTAATTAGCGTGGTGCAAGCTAAGCTGGCAAGGGGGGCTATTGTGCGGCATCATAGGACCAATCCTATTCATATCACCCGTGACCCATGGCACATCATGCCCTTTTATCATAGAATAATGATAAATGGAACAATTATATGGGATGAAAATTTAAAATTAATTATATGATATAAATTATTTTATTTAAAATATTAAGAAATAAAATCTATATTATTTAGTAATTAACTTTTTTTTACTATTTCAAATGACATAATATTATATTTATTAATTTATTTAATAATATAATTTATATTATATCATGAGTTTTAAATTTTCAACTTCTCTATTATTTTTTTATTATATTTAAGTATTTGACCCTTCAACCACTTTTTTCTTTTTCCTTTTTTTTTTCTTATAGAAATTAGAAAGCAATAAATTTATAAAAAATCAATAAAAACATGTGAAATGTATATGAACAATTTTCTATCATCTTTTCCAATGAGAGGTGCTAAGTGAACTAGTTAAAATTTAAAAATTGTGGATTTTACTCTCGTGGATTGTTTGTTCTTCCAAGATTTTCTTGAATTTTATACTTCTTAATTGCTTGTTCTTCCAAGATTTTATTGAATTTTATACTTCTTAATTGTTAAAATTCAAACCAGCCTCATTTGCCTTACAGTTCACTGCCAAGCATTAAGGCTAGGAGTTGCGTATGTTCAGGGCCAAAATTTAGTGCCAGCTGACATCTTGTAGATTATTCCTTTGATGTTGATGGTGTTATTGTCATTTGTCACTGTGATTCCCATGAATTAAGGCGGCTGGCAGCAGTCACAAAATTTATGGTTCGGTGAGACCAACCTGGATATGGAATTAACCCCTAATTCAATATCCTTCTTCACTTGCATTCCCTCAATCAACAAAATGCCCTACCACAAAAATCTCAAATTCCCTCCTGACAACTGTCGTTCGCCGTGTATATTCATTTCGGATCATATTCTAAAAAAAAAAAAAACTTTACAGTTAGAATTGCATTGGATTACCACTTGGATTAAGAGAAGTTCCTTGATATTAAAAGAGGGTCCCTACGTTGAATGACTAGTGTTTTCATTGTTCTAACTTTCCTCTTCTCCTTCCCTTCCCTCTATATATCACCCACTTCACACCCTTCCTTCTCACAATACTTAATAGTGTATAGAGACCGCCATGGCTGTTTCACAGGTTGTGTTGGTGTTAACCATATGCGTGGCTTTGATACCATGTTTGATAGCTCAAGGTCCATCTGCTTCACCGCCACTGTCAATGCCACCCAGTGTTTCTGTCCCGCCGAAAACTTCTGCTACTCCTCCCTCGGCTGTCACTCCTGTTTCCTCACCCTCACCAACGATTTCCACTCCTCCTTCCACTGCCCCTAGCTCAGTGGCCTCAACCCCATCACAAACCCCACTCATCCCAAGCCCTTCTGCCGCCCCAACGGCACCTTCAACATCTATAGCTTCTCCTCCAACACCACCTTCTACGGATATGGGCTTAAAACCTCCAGCCACATCTCCGGTCTCTTCCACACCTGGCTCCACTGCTTTTGTCCACAAAAGCAGCATGACCTGGGTAGTAGCATTAATCGGAGGAGTTGCTCTACTCTTTGCTTAGGAGACAGGGTTTTGCTTTCTAAACTTTTTTACTATATGTAGATCAAAAGTCACTTATATTTTTGTATTCTTTTCTTGTTCCTTTGTTTACTTTTGGATCCTTTATTTCCTTCTATCTTATAGTGATTCTCGTAGCTGCATTTGTGATTTCTGAGGTTCCTTAGAGATTTCTAAGGACTCTGTTTTACAGCTTCTCTGTAGCATTTTGAGTTAGCAGAATAAGAGTGAAAGTGATTCTTGTTTGTTTTTAATTTCTTCTTTGTTCACTAACAAAGTTCACAAACAGTACTACACTACTTAGTTAAGAAACTGATTCGAGTTGGAGACAAAGTAAGAAGAATATACATATGAGGGCATGAGAAACATTTAGAGATATTTTGTGAAGTAGAAGTTAGGTAGGGTTGGAATGAGGGTTAGATGGAGGTGGTGGAAAAAGAAAAGGAGAGGAGAAAAAGTTAGTTGCTAGCTGTTAACATTGGGAAAAT